GGAGGGTCAGAAGTTCAGGGATAGCCTCAGCTACACTGTGAGAAAAAAAAGGCAAAAGGTGTTAAAAGTTAAAAAGTTAAAAAGGCAGAGAAATGTTTCCTTCGAGGGAACCAAAGTAGGGGGTGGGACTCAAAGTACACAGCAATGAAAGTGAGATCGCAGACCTCCCCACTGTGATACAGAAGGTACTAGAGGCTCCTAACATACTAGGAAATCAAATCACAGCCAAGGTTATTATATACAGTAAAGACAGTTTTCAAAAGTAACCGATAAACAGGGACGTTTTCAGACAGACAAAAGTTTACTACAAGAGGAAGAGAAAACAGAAACAAAGAATTTTATTTTCCTTCTTCATAAGAGTGCAGAACAGGCTGGCTAAAAGCTAGCAAGTGGTTTCTGTTGTTAGAATCACAAAACAAATGAGTTACTCCGTGGTTATTTCTTTGAAATCTCATTTGAAAGTCAAAAGTGACATATATCCAGAACACAGACATGTGCCCTGCGCAATGTTAAAAAACAAAATGCTTCCTGTGTCTTTGGCACCTATTCCCAGGCATCTCTACAGATGTTACCAGTTTCACTGCCAGTGGCAAGATGGTTGAGATTTGAAGTATGAAACCACTTACCTAGATTTGAATCCTAGCTTGTTGCTTGTTTTAAAATATTATGTCTCTTTGTGTTGCCCAGGCTGACCCTGAATGCCTGATGCAAGCCATCTTCAGTTTCTCAAGTACATGGGCTGCATGTGTGCATCACCACAGCTGGCTGCCATCTTACTTTACCAGCCATGTAGTTTAGCATTTACTGCCTTGAGTCTTACAATCTAAAAGAGTAACAAGTTAGGGAGAAGGCTCAGTAGCTAAGGCACTTGTCATGCAAGTATGAGGGCCAGAGCTTGGATGCCCAGAACCCATGGATGAACTAGTTGATGTGACAACCCACTTGTAATGTCAGCATGGAATAGGCAGAGACTGAGTCTCCATAGCAAGCTGACTAGCCATATTAGAATTGCTGAGTTCATGTGGAGAGATGAAAACACAACATACCCAATATCAACCTTGGACCCCAACATGCAAGTACAAACACCCCCATATATTATGCCTACACATAAGCAAAATGCACATATATATGCACAAACAGAGAGAGGGAGAATAACAAAGATCCCTGAGGGTGGGCCTAAGCCCTATCCCAAAGGATACGATAGACTCTGATGAACACCCTATGGAAGGCCTCACCCTCCAGTGGGAGCAGAAAGGGTATGTGATAGGTAGGGTTTCAGTGGAGGGGGATGGTAGGGAGGAGGGGATGGAGAGGGAACTGGGATTGACATGAAAAACAATCTTGTTTCTAATTCAAATAAAAAAATTTCCAAAGAAACCCCCAAAGATTCCTGTTGCCACTGCCTGAGCTTTACATGGATATGCGTCTAAATGTCATATGCTTTAACATGTCAGGTAAGACAGTGGTGACACTAGATATAAAGTATACGAAAACACTGTTCCACTGTTATAGTCTTCTGTGTCTAAGCAATCTCAAAAGGTCAAAAACATCATTGACTGATGGGGAAAGTACTTCTGTGTATGTTTATCTTATTGATTGTTAAATAAAGTTCTGTTTGGCCAATGAAACAGCAAGTTAGACAGGACTAGGAGTCAAAGAGGATTCTGGGAAATGTAGTAGAGAAGTGGTGATCCAGGCCGGAAGTGACATAGGAAGGAGACTCATATTTGAGCAAGGAGAATGAGGGAGTTCCCCCTTTTCCCCCTCTATGCCTCCTCCAGCGGTGGGATGTGAGCCACCGGCAAGGAGGGACGCCAATAAGGCATCCGATAAGATAAGTCTTATAAAATATATAGATTTATGATAATTAAGACTGAGCTACAGATGAGAATCCTAGTCATTGGCCAAGAAGCATTATACCTAATACAAGTTTCTGTGTATTAATTTGGGTCTAACTCAGGTGGGCGGCTGGCGTAAAGTGCACATGTGGCGGTGGGGCTTGGGCGGCTTTTGGCGGAAAGATTTATCATAACAGTTGACTGTTAAAATTACCCTCCCTTTCACACATCATTTATCCATACCAGTGTCAGAAAAAAAATATCAATTTCACTTTGAAAATTAGTAAATTTGCTAGTTATCCAATACAAATTGGTCATCCCTGAAATCATATACACATAAGCAACAAAAACAGACTTAGCAGATTGTATTTATATACTTATATTTGCAACAATAACACTCAAATAAAAAGGAACCATAAGTCTACAAGGAGTGGGGGAGCATATAGGAGGGTTTGGACAGAGGAAAGGGAAGGAGGAGGTGATGTAATTATATTATAATTTAAATTTAAAAAAGAAAATCAGTAAATTCCAGGACTGTGGGTATAACTATAACCCCAGAGTTTGGAGGAGGTGGAGACAAGCAGCTCCAGAGCACACTAGCCAGTGTAGGCAAATCAGTGAGCTCTAGGCTCAGTGACACACTTTGTCTCAAAACATTAAGGTGGAGAACAACTAAAGAAGAAATCTGATGTTGCACATGCAGATGATCTCTCTCTCTCTCTCTCTCTCTCTCTCTCTCTCTCTCTCTCTCTCTTCTTCCCTCCCTTTCACTTCACAGACACACACACACACACACACACACACACACACACACAGAGGAATAGGAGGGACCGGATAGTAATTAAGCATGTTTCCTGATCCCTGGGTTTTTGTATCACAGTGATGAAAACCGAGTTCCCCACTTACTGTAGCCCATCAGGACGAATGCCCCTACGAGCATGATGGCAGTCTGCAGAGCATCTGTGTAGATAACAGCAGCCAGACCACCTAGAGGGAGAGCACAGGTTAGGGTCAGGTCACGTGGGAGGATTACTCTGGGTTGGAGGGAGCCTAGAAGGTGGAGATCCCATAGAGCTTTTAGGATTGAGGAGTTGCCCAGATGGCTACCTCAGCTGGTTCCTGTGTGCCACGAACATTTCACAGCACTGCTTTGCTACACCTTCATGGGGAGCTGACATTGATTTCTCTACTTCTATGGTATGAGCCTGGCCCTGTGACTTGCTGTGATCAAAAGAATAGGGTGGACATGCTTGCATGAGGCTCCCTCTAGGAGCTCTGGCACAGCATGCTTTAAGTGGCCACAGGAACTGTGGTACCTATCACATGCCTAGAATCCTAGAATGTGGATAGTGGAGGCAGGAGAGGCAGTACTGTGCTTGCTCATAGCCAGACTAAGAAACATAAGACCATGTCTTAAAACATGTCTAAGGTGGCTGGGAGAAACCCAGAGGTAGAGCACTTGCCGAGTCTTAGGTTGAGTCCCCAGCCCCACTTAACTCAATGGAAAGGAAGCTGCTCCCCACAGCTTAAGCTCACCACCCACCACATGAGAGAGGCCATCTGTTTCAGCCAGCTGCTGTTCCAGCTGCCACTGAACTATAGTTCCGAAAAGCCAGGTGAGACCATGAAATCATCCATCTAGGCAACCCACAGAATATGGGGATTAACAAGCCATTGTTAAAGCCCCTCACTGTGTAGATGCCTTGTTACATGCCACGTGGGCTGCTTGTTACACAGATGTTCCTCACTGATACAGGAAGTGGTACTTGGGCTACAGGCCTAACTCTGGCTGTTTTCCCTTTTTATTAAAAAAAATGAGATTAACATGCAAATATTAGGTTTCATTATGGAATATGCAAACAGAATTGGTTCTTAACTCTCCTCTCCCTCTTCCCCCACATCCCCCTGGCCCTCTTTTAGCCAGTTTCATTTCTGCTTTCATGCTACATGTGCCCTGTTGCCCTCTCCCTTACTTCAGGTTTTCCTTTTCCCTTCATGAACACCGTCAACATTTGTGAAAATTATTTTCAAGAGTTAAACTTTATTTTAAAATATTTTATTACACTTATCTGTATGTGTTCCGTACACCTGTGACATAGCACATACGTGGAGGTCAGAAGACAGCTTGAGGGACTCAGTCTCTTCTTCCACCATGTGGGGTCCAGGGGTTGGACTCACTCTGACAGGTTTGGTGGCAAGCACCTCTACCCCCTGAGCCATCTTTCTGGCCTAACACCCTTACTTTTAAAGTTGGAAGAAGAATGTGAGTTCTAGAACACCACCTAGGCGGCTTTAACACCATCATGGCCACCTAAGAGAAATCCCTTGAATTTGCCCTCCCCAAAAAAACCTTTGTGGTATTTGCGAGTCCATTAACATGGACAGAGTACTGGGCCCAGCCCCTCTCCAGTGTCTCCCTCTGTAAGGGAAAAGAAGCATTGACCTGTTACCTGATGCAAACATGTTTACATGAGGGCAATTGCTGTGCAATTAAGAAAAACATGTAGCCAGGTGTGGTATAGCTGGGCATGGTGGTGCACTCCTTTAGTACCAGCACTCAGGAGTCAGAGGCAGGGGGATCTCTGTGAGTTCCAGGACAGCCTGATCTACAAAGTGACCAGTCAGGGCAGTTATACAGAGAAACCCTGTCTCAAAAAAAAAAAAAAAAAAAAAAGGAAGGAAGGAAGGAGGAAAGAAAGAAAGGAAGGAAAGAAGGAAGGAAGGAAGGAAGGAAGGAAGGAAGGAAGGAAGGAAAAAAGACATGTAGAAGGGTGTGATGTCCTTAATATCCCCTTCCTGGGCATCAGTAATGGAGCCCTCTCTTAAGTGATAGGGGACCTGGTTTACAACCCACCCTAATTCTCCAATGTTCCCTCAAGTGAGCCAGAAGTCATAAAAACCCATGATTTGGTACACTGAGCCCATCTTATTTCTATACCAATACTTACTTGTCAATACCCACTTGTCAGGCACTGTGGCACAATTAAACATTTCGTTCAATTGGTCACTGAATATCCAGCAAGCATTCTACCAGGCTCTGTGTGCCCACCAGGTGGCTTGTTCCTGCCCTCATAGAACCTCCAGCCTCACAGAGGAGACAGATTCCTTGAAACAATGAACTAGAAGATGGACTGGCCATGGCAATTAATTTACTCCTCTCCTCCTGCTCTGAGCACAAGGCTTCCAGTAGGCTTTCTGTATTAGGGGCCTCTGTGTATGTGGGATTGTGCCTCCTCCCTGATTAGAGCCTCCAGTGGTGTTCCATGACACTTGGAGCAAACTCCAGGTTCCTTTTATTGTCCCCAGAGCTCTGTTCCCTTCCCTGCCTCCTAGTTAGTTCCTCTTTAGAGCCACTGCAGTTAGGTTCTGAGGAAACCCTTCTAGTAGCACCCCCTGGAGTTCAGTGGACACAAGGCACATTGTCAGTACCACTGACCTCCTTGCTATTCCATGGCTGGGGGCAGTGTACTTTCATTTCATAGGCTCTACAGTTGTCTTTTTCTCTGCTTGGGGCTCTCCACACTTCTCTTCTTATTTAAATTTGGTTGAAAGATTGCCTTTGAGAGCCCAGTCTTCCCTTCATTGGTTCCCCAGCTCTGTGGTCATCCTTGATAACATTATTAAGCATAAGAATATATTCTGATGTTACCAATTAATTTCTTTATTCATTTGTTTACTCATAGCCACTAGAATGTGTGCACAGGCGTGTTTATGTTTGTGTGTGTGTGCATGGGAGTTGGGATTTTGTTTAATTTGGTTAAATTACATTAATTTGATTAAATCAATTTGGTTTTGGTGGTTTTCTTTTGTTGGGGGTGTATTCATAAGAAACAGAGTCTCTCTGTATAGCCCAGACTGGCCTTGAACTCAACATTCTCCTGCCTCAGGCCCCCAAGTTCTGGGATTATAGGCATGAGCCAACACCCCAGCTTTCCAGTATAGACTTTGTCCTTCTGATTAATTTCCTACCATTTTCTATGGTGCCTGGCACATAGTCAGTGATCCACACACGTGAGTATGTGTATATAAATGTACATTTGTGGAATGAATTATACCAAGAGGAGGCAGAGAAGGCCAAAGCTAGGGTAAACAGGTGACTATTAAAAAACTCAGCTATTTGAAAGCCTGCTGTGTGCCAGGTACTTTCTTGGACATAAACCAAAGAGGAAAAAAGATAAAGCTGCCTAAACTTAGGCTCCAGAATCAGCTGTTCATTGCCCAGCTTTGTATCATGCATGTGGACTCACATGCTTAGCACTTAGGTTCTCAACTAGTCCTTCTAGAATAGAAAAATATTGTGTAGCTGCTGGATGCTTTGCTTGTTTGTTGAAACAGGGTCTCACTACATAGCCCAAGCTGGTCTCAAACAAAATCCTCCTGCCTCAGCCTCCTGAGTGTTGGGATAATGGGCAAGAACCACTTCATCTGGCTTATTTGTGGTGCATTTGAATAATCCCTTTTTTAATTAAGTAGTCCTCTTTCCTTTGGATAATAGCTTTAAAAATGTCATCCTTCAGGGTTGTGGGGGGAGATCTAGTGAATAAATGGCCTTGGCACACTGAACACCAGAAGGTGTGCCAGAATAAAGTGGGTGGCCCACAGCCCCGCCTACCAACTCTCTGAGCATCACCCTTGTCCCATGATACCTGCAACAGTGTACAGAGCTGTGATGGCCAGCAGCCCCACTATGGCCAGGTACAGATCCAGGTGCAGGGACTGCTGAATGAAGATGGCACCTGCATACATGTCTACCTGTAGGGTGAGACGTCAAGGGTGAATGGATGGGTGGATGGACTAGAGACTGGATGGGGCAAGGGACTGAGTGGACAGATGGAGCCGGGAGTGAGTAGGTAGACTCATGAAGTGCTGTCTGATGGAAGGAGGAGGGAGTGGGTGGGTGCATGGGCCAAAGAACAGATGAGTGGATTGAGAAGGAGTGGATAGATGACGGGCATTCACAGCAACTCCCCAGGAGCAGGCTCTCTCCCCGACTCTGACAAATACAAAAGAGCTACACACATTTATTTCCTCATCCATCTCATCCTAAACTGGGGGCTCAAAATGAAGGCCCGTGGGCAGCTAAGATTGAGACCCCCACCCTGCGCTCCTTCCCACTTCTGCTGGGGCTCTTCCCACCCTCTCTCCTCCACACTGCAACCTTCATGCTCCTCCCAGGATGACATCATCCTTCTTCCCATTAAAACTCTTCTGTGGCTTTCACCTCATCCACAAAGGAGTTGGGTGAGAGCTTTCACCAGACCCTTCAACATTAGCAATCTGTTAACCTCATATTCTTTATTCACTCTGTATTTCTAGGGCTCTGGGCTTTCGGAAACAGTCCCTTTCCCAGCATATTATGTTTTCAGGCATCTTCCATCTTTGGCTGGTGGTGGTCCAGTCATCTGGAATGGCAACGCCCCTATTTCCAACTGGTGGATTCCTCCTAAGATGACACTCACCTCCACCAGACTGAGTAAGCATCCTAGAAGGATGGCCTTGAGTCTGCAGCTAGGACAGCCAGTTGCTGCTGTTTGTACTAAATGAAATCTCTTCTACCCCTACCCCATGTGGGACAATATCATCGCCACCCCCTGAGCCAAGCCTGCTGGAGGTTACAGTGCATCTGCTCTTGGTCACCTTCCTGGGAACCTGCCCATCCAAAGGTCAGGGTGAGGCAGGCCAGACCGTCCTCAAAACATCTTATTAATACCTGACCACTCCCTTGTTTCTGGAGGAAGGTCACAGTCCTACCCAAGAGCAAGGGAGTGCGGGTGGTCTTGGATCTCTATGCAGTGACCCCACCATCGTGCTGAGATGTCACCAAACCAGCTTTGGCAGGCAGAAGGAGGGATTCCTTGCCTCTGCCTGCCCTTCCTACATTCTTCTGCCCATCCTACCTTCCTTCCTCTACTTCCCTCTAATATCAAGCCTGCCCCAGGGGAAAAGTAGACGTGAGGAAACTCCTCCCAGTGCACTCCAGTTAGCTTCTCGCTGTGCTGTGGGAGGGTGACCAGGCCTTGTATCCCCCTTACCGAGATCTTGGTGAAGATATAGATGAACAGATAGAGCACAGCCAGGGTGATGGAGATCCTCCTGCCTCCGAAGCGTCTCCTTAGGTATTCTGGCATCGTGGTTACCTGCAGGATGAAGCAGCTTTATCGAACCCAACTGATTTTGGCCATTTGCCTCCTCAGCCTGGCCACCAGCCCTGCCCACCTCCTCCATCCCCACAAACTCAGAAGCACAGAGCATCATCTTGGGCTTCTCCACAGGAGACTCAAGGATAAAGGAGACTTGAAGGGGGAGTGGACTGTGAAGGCATTTGGGTTCCCTACAGGGCTATGCACCCAACTATAGTTTCAGATTTGCTTGTTTAGTTATGTGTGTGTGTGTGTGTGTGTGTGTGTGTGTGTGGGGGGGGGCTCTGTGTGTGTGTTTTTGTGTGTGTTCTGGGTGTGTGTGTGTGTGTGTGTGTGTGTGTGTGTGTGTGTGTGTGTGTGTGTGTGTGTTTGTGATAAGTACATACCACAGCACAAGTGTAGAAGAAGTCATAGGACAGCTTGCAGGAGTTGACACTCTCCTTTTACCATGTGACTCTGGGGCTCAAACTTGGGTTGTTAGGTTTGGCAGCAAGTACCTTTCCCAGCTGAGCCGCTTCACCCCCCACCCCAACTACTGTGTTTCTAAACATGAGGCCGAGTGTTCTCCATCCTAGTTTTGCTGTATGCTCGATTTCTTTAACATAGTATTTTCTTTTTAAGTGAACTTACCTTTTTACTTTAATAACTTTATCCCCTAAAAAGATACTTTTTTTGTTTTGTTTTGTTTTTCTTTTTGAGACAGGGTTTCACTGTGTAGCTTTAGAGACTGTCCTGGAACTCACTCTATAGATCAGGCTGACCTCGAACTCACAGAGATCCACCTGCCTTTTCCTCATGAGAGCTGGGACTAAAGGCACGCACAACCATCACCAGGTGATACTTTTTTTTTTTTAGGCAGTTCTGGAAATTGAATTCTGGGCTTCTTGCATGTTAAGTAAGTGTTCTTCCCCTGAGCTAACTCTAACACTTGAAAATCAAACTTTAAACTACTACTGTAAGTGGAAAATCAGTCTCATTTTTTTTTTTTTTATTTTTTTCGAGACAGGGTTTCTCTGTGGCTTTGGAGGCTGTCCTGGAACTCACTCTATAGACCAGGTTGGCCTCAGACTCACAGAGATCCGCCTGCCTCTGCCTTCTGAGTGCTGAGATTAAAGGTGTTTGCCACCAACGCCGGGCCCAATCAGTCTCAAATTTAAAGAGAACCCCCCAAAAGTGAATCTAGGAACAATAGAGCAATGAAGTATATCCTCTGTTCTCTTTTAGCAGCTTCCTGTTGCTGAGAGCTGCTCATAGGGCCAGAGACGAGCCATCCATGAGCAGATAGATGGGCAGCATTAACTGGACACAGCAGGGTATTGGAAGAAGGAGGGGACAACAGCAGCATGCAGTTGTGAGGGGACACATTGGGGCAATCCAGAGTGGTGAATTGGAGGAGGAAATGTGAAATTGTCAAAGAATAATGTAGTTTTATTTTAAAAGAGAGGAGCAATAGAGAACATTGCTGAAGTGCTAAGAACCTGTTGCCAAAAAACAAAAACAAAAAGCAGAGCCCTGAAAGGCAATGGAAAGAGGAGTTTCATGCCATGGTACAGCATAATTGGACCCATACCCAGTACTGAAATCACTGCAAGAATCCCCATCTGCCCATCCTCCGAAGAGAAGCAAGGGATATTGGGAACAATGTGCAGAAGGGAGAGACAGTGTACAGAGCATCTTTATCCCAGAGACACTGAATGCTGACAGTGTCCGGATGCAGGGATGGGAGTCTGAGGCAGAGGCTGTCACTGCTGTGTGGGATGCTCCAGAGACTGGGCCATGCTGCTGAGAACCATGATTTGGGTTGCAGTTTTTGAAGGATGTGGAATGTTCTTTCAAACACTCTGGGACCTCCGACCAGCAGGTGATCTTCCACAAGGCCCCAGGTGTCAGGTGGGGAAGGGTGGGGTGGTGATACTCATGGGGTACATTTCTACAGTTGGAGAGGCTGTGTTGTGGTTTGAACTCACAGCATGTTCCAAAAATCACGAGTGGAAGGCTTGGTCCCAGTTGATGGATCCAGTCAGAGAAGTGATTGGATCCTGGGGTCTCTGACCTAACAATAGATTATGTTGATGGACTCGTAACTTGATGACGTTCTTGGGAGGTGGGGGCAGCTAGGAAGAAGGCCTGGCTGGAGAGGTAGGTCACTGAAAACCTGCCTTGAAGAATAGATCTTGTCTCCAGCCTATCCTGTCTCTCTGCTTCTTGGGTGCTATGAAGTGAGCCACCTTCCCCACCATCTTTCCCCTCCATCATCTTTCTGCCCAGCCATGGGTCTAAAAGCAAGGGAGCCTGCTGACAAGAGATTGAAATCTCTGGAAATGGGAAAAGAACCCCTCCCCTTATTTATCTCAGGGATTATGTCGCAGTGATGAAAAATGACTAACATGGGCTCAGTGGCCAAACCTGCTTCAAGAATAGCAAATCCTTGCAGTGATCCCAGCATTTGGGAGACTGAGGCAGGAAGATAATCAGTTTGAAGCCAGCCTGGGATACCTGGGAAAAACCTGTCTCAAGAAAGTTAAACTAGTAAGCTAATAGAATCTGACTGAATATTCTAGTGTTTCAGAGAAGAAAGATGAGTTAAATGTTGACGCACATTTGAATTTTTCATATTAAAATATTGGCAAAAATAAACATAACAATGGATATTTTTAATTGGGTTAATAAAGTTTCTATTTCCATCTCTTCTTCCCAAAAGGCAAGTTGGGATTCTGATTCCCATGGATGTCCTGCCTGAGTCCTCTGATTTGCTGCAAGGTAAGCTCAGCAGGAAGTTTCCGGAAGTATTTTATACTGAGCTCTGACACCGTCAGGAATAATGCAAGGAGGGGTTGCAGCAAGCATCGTACACTGTGGGACTCTAATCAGAGAGTGCAATGGGTGCTCCAGTCTATTCAGATAAATGTGCCAAAAAAGATACTCTGGGCAACTACTATCTAATCTGTGAACAAGACAACGGTTGACTGTCTACTCCTCCCTCTGAGAGATGGTCAAAAGAGCAAGAGAGATCTTTCCTCTACATGTGGGCTTGGTTCTTGGACTACTCCTCTCATTGGCTACTGGCTTCAACTATCAGTTAACCCTGGGGTCAATCCAGGATAGCTGCTACAGGAAGTTTCTAATTATTAAAAGACAGGAGAAGAGGAGGAGGAAGAAGAGAACAAAGAAGATCTTGCTTCGTTAGCACACTACACAAAGAGCTTTCCAATCTCAAAGGTAGCCCTTATTCTAAAGTCCAAGCCATTCAGGAAATAGCCCAGTGAGTCAGAAAGACTAGACCACAGTACTCCTTTGACTACAGACTCAAATCACAGCTGGTTTCAGTGAGGAAGGCCCAAGGGACTGCATAGGGACTATCCCTCTTGTTGGTGCCGGCTGAATGGGCAGAAGGAATAAATACAGCAGCCAGATGTGGTGGCACATACCCATTATCCTGGTAGGAAGATCACAGATTCAAGGTTAGCTTGGGCCTCATAATGAGACCGTCCCAAAGGCTAGCTAAAACAAGATAAATTGAACAAAAGACAGCCCACTAGAGAGTACCACTCCAGCTCCCAGGGCTCTGGCCAACAGTGGCTCTGCATTGTATACATACTCTCCCTTGATGGTAGAAGTTTTGGAGGGGATCCCAAAAACTGTGTCCTCTCTCCAGTCTGCCCCTCATCCAGGCCCATGGAAACCCCTCACTACTCCTGTGAAGTCAATGACACCTGCATGAAGCTTATTGCATGGCTCTTCACTGGATGAATGCACTGAGGAAATGACCCAAGAGCACTGCTGTTACCTGGTAGGCACCTGAGGGCTACAGTTCAATCTCCATATTCATGAGCAAAGCTGGTCTCTAAGGATCAGAATTATTTGATGCTGTCCTCTAATACAGTAAATATACAGTAAATTGAAGGGCTGGGGAGGTCTTAGGCAGTCTGTCTCACTGTGCTAGCGTGAGGACCAGAGGTAGATTCTCAGAACCCATGTAAAAAACTGGGTGTGCAGCACATTTAGTAGTCCCAGTACTAAGGAGGCAGAGGCAGGAGGGTCCTAGCCAGTCAGCCTAGTCGAATTGGTCAGCCCCAGATCTTAGTGAGAGTTCCTCTTAAAAAATAAGTTGCTGTTGGCTCCTGAGAAACAATGCCTATGGCTTTGTGCATGCATGTATATAAATAAATAATAAATTCTCGGTGGATAACAGCAAATGGGGAGTTTCTAGAAGATAGCATTTAGAAAAAGTTATCTTTATGAGCTTGGAGTAGGTAAAGATTTTTGTTGTTGTTATTAGATGAGAGAAGATTTATATACTCTATAGCCCAAACTAGCCTGGAACTCATGTAGTCGAAGCTTGCCTCAAACTCATGGCAATCCTCCTGCCTCAGCCTGCTGAATGCTAATATAACAGGCATGAATCATCACACCTAACTAGGAAAAGACGTTTTTAAACAAGACATTGAAATGAAAAGTGATAATGGGACTATGGTAAGATTGAAATCTGTTTATGGAGAAACTCCAGTAATTAAAGTGAATGGCTAGGTGTAACAGTGATAGAGTGACTCTCTGGCCTGTGCAAGGCCAAGCTCCATCGATGATATCACACACACACACACACACACACACACACACACACACACACACACCCTTATCACTCCCCGTCCTGTGTTGAGATACCTGAGATATTTTGCGTATGCATCCTATTTTTCCTATTTTGCAAGAGTTCATGAGCAGACCCAGGCCCCTTGCTCATCCAAGCCTCCTTTAGACTCTTGGCAGTCTCCCCAGAGGACCCCTTTGTCCCCTCACTACTGCTTTTCAACTTTACATAATTTCTAACACCCAAACTCCTCCTACTTTGCCTATTTCTAAATTTACACATTACAAAGTTAAAAGCAATTGTTGCTCAGTGGGTGGTGATGATGGCAAGTGATCTGACACAGACAAAGGCCTAAGGAGCATGAGTGACAAGCAGCTGACAATGGCATTAGAAAGCCTTTGCAAACCACTTTCTACCAAGTCTAGGCTAGGTGTGGCTTGGTGTTAGCAGTCCTGGATTCCATCCTCAGCACACACACACACACACACACACACACACACACACACACAAACTTATTAGATACCTTGTCTGGGCAACACTATGTTGACATTCCATCTCAGTCAGAAATAGTTCAATTGTAGATTTGAGTATATATATATGTGTGTGTGTGTGCGCGCGCGCGTGTGCGTGGGCGTGTGTGTGTGTGTGTGTGTGTGTGTGTGTATGCGCGCGCATGCACATTTTAGCTAAAAGCAACATGTTATGGCTTATTGATTATGCACGTAAAGGATTGTAAGGCTTATCTTTGTGTTCTGACATTGAAAAGACGTTTTTGAGGCCAGCCTCTGAGTGCCCCGTGTGTGCCACATATATTAGGGACCAGTCAGATCTGTGTGGGATAGGGTTCCTTTGTTCTTTTTCAACTGTGCAGCATCTGTCCCCAGTGCCAAGAGACTTAATGGCTGTCTGATGGCAATCCACAAATGGGAGGGGATGTGGGCTGGTCTTCCCAAGGGTGTTCCCATGCCATAGTGCCCACCCCACCTCACACTCACCTGGCCAGCAATGTAGATGGGAAGAAAGATCCAGGCTAGCATCAGCACAGAAAACAAGCCCTGCCAAAAAACCACAGTCAGAGCTGTTCTGCCCATGCGATGGAGCCATTCCCCTGCACCTTGAGTCAGTCTAGCCTGCCCTCCACCCCTGAAATAGTCACTTCCTTGCTGAGTGGTTCACTTTCCCTGGCCTTTCTACTTCCATGTTTAAAACGATAAGAGACTAACAGCGTGGGACAGAGCACCTGAGGTTCAGCTTCTTGGAGGCTGAGATGGAGTCACAGAGTTTAAAACCAGTCTGTGCAACATAGTGAGACCCTCAAAAAACATAACAAAACAAAAAAAAAACAAAATAAAGAGAGAGAGAGACAGAGAGAGGAGGAGGATTAAATAGGAGAGAGGAAACTGGTAATAAAAGACCTGGGGACATCTAATTCTGTCTCCTAAGTGCCACATTGTCCTCTTTGGTCAGTTCTGTACCCCTCTTGCCCTGCAGTGGTCAGTTCTGCACCCCCTTCTCTTCCCCTGCAGTGGTGGGCTATACCAACAGGGAGCTGAGGATTCTGGGAGAGTTCTCACAGGTCTCAAGAGCCATCTTCCTCCCTTATGAATTAGACATAAGGGGACCTCTTAGATTGCTTGAGGAGATTCAGCCCAATAGTAATGAATGAGCATTTAATCCATGCCAGCCTCACCTCGGGTCTCAAGAGCCATCTTCCTCCCTTATGAATTAGACATAAGGGGACCTCACTAGATTGCTTGAGGAGAATCAGCCCAATAGTAATGAATGAGCATTTAATCCATGCCAGCCTCACCTCGTCACCCTTCACAATTAGGAGTTAAATCAATCCTCACACACTGAGGCTAATGGCAGGGACCATGATCACCCCCTAATGTATATGCGAGTTCCAGAAAAGTCAAGTAACTTAACCAAGATCATACTGCTCGCAAGCATGAATGCTGAGTGATGGGGGATGTCCTTCTGCATATATGTTTCTCTTATTGGTTGATGAATAAAACACTGTTTGGCTGATATACAGGTGGGGATAGGAGAATTCTGGGAAAGGTAGGCAGAAAAGTGCCAGAAAGAGTCATGCCATGTGGAGACCAGGAGGATAGGATGTGCCAGGTGTTCTCTGGTAAGATAAGGCCGAGTATAAATACATAGGTTAATAGTTATAGGTTAATAACAAAGACGGAGCTAGCCGATAAGAAGTCCTAGCCATTGGCTAATAGTTTTACAATTAATATAGCATCTGTGTGTTTATTTGGGGCTGAGAAGGACAGCGGGACCTGGTAGGACAAGAAAATGCCCACAACAGCTGAGGCCACCCAGTTCTAGCCTGTAGGTAATTCCTATCACGTGGGAGTGTGTGTGACATAGGTGACACAACCACCCATGGGAGAAGCTACTCTGCGATGCCTACTTTGGAGAAGAATGCATCTCTGTGTCTCTAGGGACATGAAGCACACATACCACTGAGCATTTTGTTTCAGTGATGGCCAACTGATGCTTAAAATACACAGCTATGACTTCTGTCACCTGCCTCCTGCCATTTTCTGCATATACGAAGAAGCCTCCTGGGCCCCCACCCTCTTGATGTTTGGGGTATGGCCTTATGAGTCCCTACCAAGCAGTTACACAGACACCCAAATAAATTAGTTGTCTAGGAGCACCTTGGAAGCCTGTTTGCTTAACTAAAAACGCATTTCACTTTGAAAGTGCCAAGCCTTCACCTCTCCCCAGGATATACTGCAGAACAGAAGGGAGATGTCTACACCATGGCAAAACTCACGTTAAGCTCATAGGATGCAACAGAAATGCCCACAGCAGCACCGGACCCTGCTAGGCCAATGAAGTGTCCGCTTCCAACATTGCTGGCAAACAATGATGCACCCACCTGTGGGGAGATGAATGGGAAGGTTCCTGGAGCTAGGCCTGCCTGGAGAATTGTCCCTATTCCAAGTTCGGACCACTCTTCAAAGGGACCAAGACAAGTAGGGAAATAGAGAATGTGGGACCATTCTATCCTACACGCCATATTTGTGCAGTGCACAGCTTGAACAATTGTCTGTAACATCCAGGGTGGACAGGATTACAGGAAATGATGCAAACCAGCTCTGCTCTCCAACTCAACAAAGTGTGTGTGTGTGTGTGTGTGTGTGAGAGAGAGAGAGAGAGAGAGAGAGAGAGAGAGAGAGAGTCTGTAGATCACCTTAAAAAGGAAAGGCTCATTGGACTGTTGTATTTGTTATTTGTGCCTTCAACATCCAGTCCACTTGGTTCCTTATTTTCATTCAAACTTTAACAGCTCAGCATGTACTCCCCAGGGCAGGTGTTGAGCATGACAATGAGGCATGAGTTCAGGCAGTGCAGCAGTCTACCATAGGCATGGTGACTGGTACAGTGATGAGCTTGAGATGCAGTCAGAGATAAAACATTTTCCAGGGAGCAGATGCTCTTTCCATGCTAGCCTGGACCTGGAGAGGATGAACAGTCTGGAGTGGTGTTTTACTTCTTGTTGCCATGGAGTTGAAAGCATTTGGCTATCTTTCAGAAGGAGAAGAGCTGAGGCAGATAAGTGCCGGGTAAGTCAACAGATGATGGATGAATAGATGCATGATGGACGATAGCACGAATAACAAAAAAGTAGATTACTGAATCTACTTTTAACAGAGTATTGATAGACAGATGAAGGTAGATGATAGAGCAATAGGTGGTGGAGGGATATTTTGAGAAACTAGGTTATCAGGTCATAGTAATACTGATAAATTGGGCCTCTGCAACCATCTTATAGGTGAACTGACAGATTCTTTTTTATGTAAATAAATTCAAATTGGAGCAAGGCTTTCTTTAGTTTTCACTCCAACTTGAAGACAACATGGAGCAAAACAATGTCAGAGCTTGAAGAGTCTTTGAGAAAATGACTTAACATAATTTTTTGCAGTGCTGGAGGGGGAACCAGAGCCTTGCACACACAAGGCAAACGTCTACCCCAGAACTCCCTCCCACCCCCACCCGCTTGAGAAGTGATGAACTGAACTGAACCCAAGAGCACTTACTGGCCACCACACCATGTTGCCTCCAGCCAGGAAGTAGCCTTTCACTGTGTCTCTCTTGGTCCTCACTGTGGACTGCAAGGAAGAAGAGGGCTGGTAAGGAGATGCCAGTGCTCAAGCATCGGAAGAGGGCCGAGGCTGTAAGCTGGGAGGCCACATTTGAACTGAGATTCATTTTGTGTGACTGAAACTCTAATGTGATTATCAAAGTCATCTCTGGCCAGTGTCTCCCTGCCAGTCCCCACTTCACATGTTTGTGACAACCTACATGATCCGGTAGACATCTGGGCTGCAGACCTGTGGCTTGCCAATGACAGCTCGTAATGGATTTCATTGCTTGCAATGTTCTAGAACCTGCTTCTGTGAGGTATTTCATAAGTACAGCACAGATACATTTAAAATAATTACATTTTCAATAAATTAATTAATGAACAACTGTAATTAAAAGCTATAGCTTTTAATTACATTTTTAATTTTAAATTTTGGGAGTTCACAGTGCAGCACTGGCTGGGCTGGAGCTCACTATGTAGACAGGCAGGCATAACTCGGACGTTTGCTTGCCTCTGCCTCCTGAGTGCTGTGATTAAAGGCGTGCACCATGCACATCTGACAGCAGCTTCTTTTATTTATTTATTATGTATACAACATCCTGCTTCCATGTATATCTGCACACCAGAAGAGGGCACCAGATCTTATAACGGATGGTTGTGAGCCACCATGTGGTTGCTGGGAATTGAACTCAGGCCCTCTGGAAGAGCAGTCAGTGCTCTTAACCTCTGAGCCATCTCTCCAGCCCCCAGCAGCTTCTTTTAATCCTTGCTGTTTGGTGTTTGAGACATCAAAATGTCCCTCTCACAGTTCTGTAGAGCTGGGGGTCACAGGTCAAGGTGCCAGCAAGCTCAACCTCTGAAGAGGCCTGTCCTTCTAGATGCAGCCTTCTCTATGTAACAGCCCTGGCTGTCCTAGAACTTGCTTTGTAGACCAGGTTGATTTTGAACTCACAGAGATCCGCCTGCCTCTGCCTCCTGAGTGCTGGGACTAAAGGTGTGCGCCACCCAGCTACCCCATAAGTAGTTCTTAAACATACTCCATGGAAGGGTGTCCAGTCTCATTCGTTATAAGTGAATATTAACAAAGCCCTAAGATATCCTTTCCCCATGTCAGGTTGGAAAAAATGAAAACAATACATTGTTACAGAGAGTGGTGAACAAACCGGCATACATTGCTGTTGAGTGTGCAGGCTAAAGCTAGCCCAAGGAAGACATTCTGATGGCAGCTGTCATATTATAAATGTGTGTTATCTTCTAACATGACAAATCTACTATAGGAAAAAGTGTCCTGCACCACTCCAAAATGGTGAGTGTGCAGAGTTGGCCTGTTACAGCATTATGGTAGGAGGTGAGAGAACAAAAGCCCAAATGACCCTCAGCACAGTGTCACTTACATAAATTACACTAGAGCCAGGAGGTGGTAGCCACACCTTTAATCCCAGCACTTGGGAGGCAGAGGCAGGCGGATCTCTGTGAGTTCGAGACCAACCTGGTCTACAAGAGCTAGTTCCAGGACAGCCTCCAAAGCTACAGAGAAACCCTGTCTCGAAAAACCAAAATAAATAAATAAATAAATAAATAAATAAATAAAACAAATTACACTAGAAGCATCTGAAGGAATGCCCTGAAACTACATACCAATTCAAAAGATGTCTAGGGGACAGGGCTGGGCAGAAACAGCAAGGTTAGAATAGCACAGCATCAGTTATCTCCTCTTTAACAAAGGGGGCAACACACACACACATACATACACACATATAAATGCACATATACACATACATACACACACACACACACACACACACACACACACATATTTGCTC